CAATCTTTATATTTATAAATTTCAAATATATATATATATATATATATTTAAAATTTGTAAATATAAACGTAAATGTAACGTATAGCGCATCGTCGATTTGCCAACTCGAGAGACTCCGGCGAGACGCGAAGAGCGATACCCGAAATGCATAGCATCGTGGCATAGCCAGCGTGTGCTAAGCAGCTACGTCACAGCTCAAGCCAGCTCAAGCGAGAAAGAGACAGCAGATCGTATGTCTGCCCTTCTCTCCCCGCTCGAAGCTTGCCGAGTGCCGAGTCAGCCGACTGGCATATCCCCTCCATCTGAGTAGTTTGGACACAAACCATAGCACAGACACGAACCATGTGTGTACCGTTACTGAGCGTAACGACGTAGTTGACGTCCACTTTCTCAGGCGGCGCGTCAGTATACGTCCGCTGGAACGGAATGACCCCGGTGGCCGTTCTCAGGTTTCTCTCTAGTGCATATTGTAGGTGCGTTCCGAAATGTACTGATTTTTTACTAAGCACAGAGAAGGACTGATTGGCTGCGTTCTGCCGATACTCCGCTAGCCTAGCAACCTCATAGAAGTTAGCCGGACAATTTCGACTTACGACATTTTTTTTTTTACGAATCGACTGTTAGTCGTTTGTTATTTATTGTTAGACTAATTAGAACGTTTGTTAGTTAATAGTTTTTACGTAATCACGAAAATAATTTTTAGCCGGTAAATATAAAATTCTTTACAATTTTCGATTCAAACCGTGGTCAGTCGATGTGGAATCGTTTGTTAGTTCCGAATATACTAAGTAAAACGTTTGTTAGATCACGGTTTCGCTAAAAAAAAAACGAAAAACTGTATATCGTTTAGCTGCCGGAGAGTGGGGGTGAGACGTAGAATATGTGGTGGTTTTGGAACGCATTACGTAATAGTTTATCAACACGGGAAACGTGCTTAACCTATTTTCAATTTATTTATCAGATTTGTCGTCCAGTTCATATACAGAGAGGCGGAAAAGCCGCCGGTATCATTCTCATTGATTCGCATTAATTGTAATTTATATTAAAAACTAATCTTTCCCTGAAAACAAATAGTAGGTATACAAATATATCACTGATATTTATTTCAGCTTGTACTTCCGGCGCAACCTACTGTGATAAATATTCCGGAATCTTTGGCATAATTTTACTACGACGCAGTTTACGAATATTCCGAACCGAGAATATTACGAACAGAGAAACCTCAACGGAGTAAAGTGAATAATACCATAGAGAAAACAGTAAACGAAGTAAATATATGCAGAGAAATCGCGGACGGCTTGCGTATATATTTCGATTTCGCATATTACCTCATCTCCTGTCATATAATTTAGAAAAAGAGCAATATATTTTTCTGTAAAATCTTCCTTGCTAAGCAACGAACAAGCAATCGTTATTCCAAAGGAAGAATTAATGAGTAAAATTAAGGCTAGTATACAGAGTCGGTTCTTATTTCAAGACAATGGCTTAAGGTTGATAATATGGCTCTGTTATATCTAACAATCGAGTGATTAGTTTATAACATCTCTCTCTCTCTTAAGATTATACTCCAGCCGGTCTTAAATATAAAAGATCCGACAATGAAATACTACCCTACAACTTTATTAAGTATTCCATTAAGATCTACTGTGAGAAATTGATCAATCACAATCGAATGTGAGGAAAATAATTAACTATGATTGATTAATTTCTTAAGACTTAAGGATTACTACACCTATTGTATAGATTAAACCTTAAAAAATTTCGACATTTTTCTTGACCACAAGTTAATAAATCTGTTAAAAAAAGAAACAGCGTCAATAATATTCGAACAGATGAACCACTTAACACGCGAATTTAGTTCAAATAATTTATGTACAAAATTCGGACGTGAAATAAATTTGTTCTACCTCGCTTTTTTTACTTCGGTAGAACATTCCTAATTTGACCAAATAAGTAACATTTATTTTGCCACCAATAATTCCTAATTTTTAATCTACAGTCGCAATAATCCATAGTAGATTTGGTAGAATATTTTTGAATATTTCTGAATTTTGATATCTTTGGACCATTGAATACTTTTCTAGAAACATTATGTATCCTGTATATATTTTCTCGATAACGAAAAATGTTTAAACCGTAAACGGACCCTCGAGAATTAACAAAACGGGAAGAAAAGAGGCTATAAGGGTCAAACGCGGTTCTTCTTGCGTAATGTCTCATTTATTCATCTTCTTGGGTATAACTTCAAACGTTTCGGCTCAATTTCGAGCCATCCTCAGCGATAACAATGGTTAGCCCACGATCTCCAAACCAAATAGCAAGCTCGTCGACTCGTGTTATTTGTACCAAATGATCCTTATCTGTAAGATTTTGATGTATAAAATCAAACCTTAATTAACCCGAGACAGTGATTAACTTACCAAATGGCCAAAGAGAACGTGGGAATTAATAAATAATCGAAGTGACTTGTCGGTGGCATCGACATTTTAAAAACGACGGACGGAATAAAAACATTTAACGTAACGTAGTCAGAATTCGAATGTATACATAAATAGTTGTGTCGATGATAAAAGTATTATTGTGATAAAATTCAAAATACCAATGAGAGCACGAGAGCTCGACGCGTCATAACAATTGTACAGCCAATAAGGACATTAATCGTAGGCATGGTTTACAATTTATTTAAAATAGTAGAAACGTTTGAAGTTATACCCAAGAAGATGAATAAATGAGACATTACGCAAGAAGAACCGCGTTTGACCCTTATAGCCTCTTTTCTTCCCGTTTTGTTAAATGTTTAAACGTTTGTAAAAAAATTATCTTTATTCCAGGACACTCGACGAGCTCCGGGCTTTCCCTATCGATGACGACGGTGAATGTCTGCCAAGGATATGCGCCAGAAGATGAACAAGATCTTTTCAACAGAAAACTGAATCGCCCAGCATGCCGAGTATTTTCCGCAAGAAGTAAACTCCCCTTTGTGTCTTATAGCAAGAAATTCTGTGTGAGAAAATCGAGTATCACGTCGGCAAGAGATTCGCGAGTGCAAGCACAAAAAATTGTTGTTAGACATAAATGTATAATGTTGTTTCAACGAATGTTAACTTATTTTTTTATCGCGCTAGCTCTGTGAGTGACGTGTGAATTATTTTGTTTAAATATTAACACGGTCTGAGGAGTTTAGAAATGAGAAAATACGAATGTTTTTTCACGTTTTGTAAAATTCGGATGTCCATTGTGTCTGCACTCTTGCAGCGTTTGGAATTTTCTCACTTTCTCATGATTTTCTTTAGGTAAAAGAAAAGAAAAAGAGTAAATTTAAAACGCCACGATTAACAGTAATTAATGTTTAATTTCGAAGTCTGTCACTTTACATAGTAATAAACAAACGTCATAGATCATATATCATATCAAATTGTATATCGCATATCCGCATATACATATATATAATACACAAGTGTTTTCCTCGTAGAATAATTTACAAAATCAGACTTTCTAGAAATACAGATATCCTGTTGCGTCCTGCTCCTGCTCGGTTCTGTTTTCCGTTATTTTTTTCTTTTTTTTTTATAATCACAGCTTATCCTGATACGTAAAAAAAACATTGCTATTGTATTTTCCTTTTTCCGTTCGATAATTAATCGACACAATCAGAGAGTTTCTCTGAGATATTCGTAAACTGCGATATGAGAGTTAAGGTTTCTCTGGGATATTCGTAAACTGCGTCGTAGTGAAATGCTGTGCCAGAGATTCTGGAATATTTATCACAGTAGGTTGCGCCGGAAATATAAGCTGAAATAAATATCAGTGATATATTTGTATGATATTTGTTTTCAGTGAAAGATTAGTTTTTAACATAAATTACAATCCTTGTATAATTTTAATTTAAATATGAAAAATAAATAAAATGCAAACAGCAGGAATAGTTTTTAGTTGTTGAAAAATGTATCCGGCACAAACGCTTTATAGCTTATATCTGTAACATATATGTATTTTAACTAAAATTTAATTACTAGCTTACCTTGTTCTTATTACTCATTAGGTCATAATCCTGCTCTAGAATCCGTTTTAATGTGCTATCTGTAGCAAGATCATCGCCTGGTTTCATACTGGCGATTGGCTACCACCACCCACTGTGTTCATCGTCACTTGTTTCACCCATGTAATCAGAACTACTCTCTGTATCCTCTTCTATGTTTACGTCCTATAAATTACAAATGTAATTCTTATAAACTTTTCTTACTTTCGCAGTCCTCGATCTGCAATATCATACGGATAAATTAAATCATGCGGTAAATTAAACCTTTCATAGCGCGGCAACGTTAAGAAAATTTCGCCCTCACAACACGATAGTCAATCAGCGTTACATATTTTTCAAGTTATTGCTACTATCTCTTTCTGTTATTAAATTATAAAAGTTCTGAAACGTCCAAAATCAGTAACTTGAAAATGAAACTTACTTCCGTATAATAATCAGCGTGTTGGCCTGAACTACCATCTTCGGAAATTCCGGTCGTAGATGATGCAACTCGACTGCCACCGCTTCTCACTCTACGACGAGGTTCTTGATGCTTTGTTTCGTTTCGATTAAGCGCTTTGACATCTTATGGCTTCTCTTTTTGCGTTTGTCCCAAGACAGATTCCAGCCCTTACACAATGATAAAATATATTTATATTTCTTTAATGTGTACTTTAATATAATTTGTACAAGATTAAGTAGCTTCGCTAATGCTTTTCTAACTTACTTGGAAGTGCATGAAGTATTCCACTGCTTTTCTACCTCTTAATGACCAATGACATCAAGCATCTGTAAACAATTTTATAGTTAGTTTAAACTGCGAGTTTCCGTACGATGACAAAATTACTTATATCTACTTAGTACATACAATATAAGTTTATTTCTATATTTCATAAATCTGTAATTTGATGTAATTGTTCAAATACAACTTTAGTAGGTTACCTCTCTACTTTTGCAATCTATATCTCTTTCATATTGCAAGGATACTTTTTACTAAGTTCAGAATTAAATTTGCATTTTACACTTACCTATATTTTTGCACGTAAAATGTAGCCAGGTATTAGGCATAAACAAATCTGATAAATAAATTGAAAATAGGTTAAGCACGTTTCCCGTGTTGATAAACTATTACGTAATGCGTTCTGAAACCACCACATATTCTACGTCTCACCCCTACTCTCCGGCAGCTAAACGATATACAGTTTTTCGCTTTTTTTAGCGAAACCGTGATCTAACAAACGTTTTACTTAGTATATTTGAAACTAACAAACGATTCCGCATCGATTGACCACGGTTTGAATCGAAAATTGTAAAGAATTCTATATTTACCGGCTAAATTAACACTAAAAATTATTTTTGTGATTACGTAAAAACTATTAACTAACAAACGTTCTAATTAGTCTAACAATCAATAACAAACGACTAAAAATCGATTCGTAAAAAAAATGTCGTAAGTCGAAATTGTCCGGCTAACTTCTATGAGGTAGCCTAGTAATCGTGTGCAGTCGCTCGTTTCTTCTCCTTTGACCCAATGGATTAAAAGGAGAAGAAACGAGCGACTGCTCACGATTGCTAGGCTAGCGGAGTATCGGCAGAACGCAGCCATTGGCTGCGTTCGGGGAGCGCGCTATTAGCGCTATTTGCTTAGGGTCCGTTCCAAATTGCGCATGAAACGCATAGACTGTATTAAGGTCGAAGCACATAAAATTGCAGGAGCCATGAACAGAATGCAGAACTCATATGCGCATGCGCTATGGTATCTGCATTCTGCCCCATGGCTTTTGAATTTTCAATCTACATAAAAATACATAAGCATAGTTTATGTAGATTGAAAATTCAGAAGCCACAGTCATGGGCAGAATACAGGCAGATACCATAGCGCATGCGCATATGGCTTCTGCGTTTTGCTCATGGCTCCTGCAATTTTATGTGCTTCCACCTTTATGGTGCGATCCCATGGTACGGAACGTATGCGCAATGCGGAATTGGTGGAATAAAGTCCGTTCAATGTTCAATGGCAGGCATTCCGTCAGTTGCGTTCCGTTAATAGTTATTTGTGTAAAAGTGTCGTAAGATAAGGCGAGTGCGGTAACCGCACCCGGGAATTTTCATCTTTACACACGACTTACACTCCCTATTTTATGTGGCAAGTGCCTGGAAAGTGGTCTATCATGCACGCGTAGCGTGCGCAATGGGGCACTTTCCATGCACGTGTTGCATAAAATATCTTTTCTAATCCCTGGCGGAAAAAATTTGTATGAATAACTACAAAATTTAACTAGAAATAGAAGTTTGTACATTTTTGTTGAAATATTTAATTTTTTGTAGAAATAGTTATTTTTTTGTAGAAATATCTATGAAATAGTACCACAAATTACAATGTTTTCAAATCAAGAAATTTTGCAAGTAGTATTTTTATGAAAAACTACAATTTTATAAAAAAATAGTACAAAAATCTACAAATTTTAAAAATTTAAGAGAAAACAAAATCTAAAAAAATTAAAACATTTGCTTACTTGTAGAATACAACAATTATTTATAAATGACTATAGAAATCTACCACAATTTACATATCGTAAAACTATACAAATTAGAATCTAATCCAGTTTTTAGTTTCTCATAAAATACTATAATTTTGTATGAATAGTAACATATACTGATTTGTTTGTACAGCTCAAAAATCTATTACAATTATGGCTAATTAAAATTTGTAATTTTTAGTTAAATGTTGCAAGTTTTTACACAAATCTTCCAAAATTCATCTATTATTAATAACTTCTTAATTCGCAAAAGTCAAAATACTTATGTTTTTATTTTCGTATAGTCTGTTGTAAAGTCCAATAGAAAAATACATAAATGTACAATTTTTTACCTATATAAATTTCTGATTCGTGAATGGTTGTAATTTTGTATACAATACTACAAGGTTCTACAGAAAACGACAAAATTCTTAAGCCTTTTACAACTCGTGAATTCATAAAAATCTACATAAATTTGCTTTTTTTAGATGTTTATAAGATATACTACAATTTTACATGAAAATTAACAGACCTTCAACCAAACCTTCAATTTTTCCATGGAAAATAAAAATTAATATGTTAATTAAAAAAATTAAAACAATGAAATAAATTATTGGATCCGCCAGTGCGTAGATAAAAATAATCGAGATTAAGCGACCCAACTGGCCAATTTTTATTTATTCGTCTCACAACGTTTCGACCCCGATTGGGTCCTTTTCAAGTGAACGAATAAATAGAAATTGGCCAGGTCGCTTAATCTCGATTACTTTAAAAAAAATTAAGTATCTTATGCAAAATTAGAAAAAAAAGAAAACTTAAAATAACATATAAGCAATGAGAAGTGCCGTTTTCGGTCAAAGCGGATCTTGATGCTTAATAATATTTCACAATATCAATTATAATTATTAAATACATGTTTCAGTTTTTTAAATTGGCACTACGTGCCAATATGGACTTTGTCGGACTTAAAACGCAATTGTGTAAACTGAAATTAAAAATAATATATTTTATATTAATTTGATATTGTCAAGTAAAATAATATACTATTAGAAGAATATTTATAACAGTTATACAAATTTATATGAATAGATCCATTATATAGAGTATATATTCATAATTCATATATGATTATCTATCACACATGATAATATACTAGTATATAAAACCATATGACTATATATAAAGTTATACTTAAGGAGGCTCTTACCTCGATCATAAAACGACAGATCTTTATAAAATTAAATTATGTTGTAAAGTGAACCACAACGAACCGATGCCCAAAACTTTAGCATAGGTTGACGATAAAA